TATGTTGGCCTTGGAGGTGCTTTAAAAGTTTTAATTAAAATTAAGCACATGAATTATATAAATAAAAGTAGATGATGGAAACAGATAATAACCCACTTACACGAAAATACATTTCAAATGAATCTTTTTCAATGAATCCCTTTATATTTGATAAAATAGAGTACACGATTCAACCAAATCATAATAACTCTTTCCGTGTTTTAATTTTCCATATTTATTCCTGCATATGGAGTATATACATGAAATATATTACTCCCAGTTGATACAATATTCCAGGGCTTGCGTTTCCTATCATGATTTCCTTAGAGTTGATGCTCACAATTAAGTTATTGAACCAAGTTCCGAGAGGTGAAGTTGAAATCATTCCTTCGAACATTTAACGGACGCCATCACGAGTTTGTTGACCGTTATGAAATATTTGTTTCACAGATGACGACAGATAGGATCCAATAGTCGTAACCACAACCTCGTCCTCCTTTGCCCTGAATGTGACATACCGAAAGGGTTTGTACTTACATGAGAAACACGACGGGTGCCACATATGGAACAGGATCTGCTCACCCTTCCGGAGCACTTGAGATCACCCCCGTTTGTGGTGGGGTTCGTCTTGCTCAGTCCAGGTTTTTGTCTTTTGGTCTTTGGCATCGTCCATTAATTTTCGTCTTATAAGTTTGAATGTCCCTTTTGTATCTTTTGCCACTCCTTTAGACACGTGTCTATACAATATGTGAATATGTCAAGCTATAATCGTACCGAGTATAAAAGAGTACGTGGTGGATGAATAGAACAGTAAATATCAAAGATATTTTATCAGCACATACTGATATTATAAAACAGCCACTGATGAGGTAACTAGGTTTTAGCCTACCCACTCACTTCCTTTTAATATCCTTTTAGCGGACTAACAAAAAGTACATTAGAGAGCATTCAACCAAAATATATATAGGAAAAGAATGCAAACAATGATAACGAGTATGAATTGCAATAAGACTAAATGCTATTGTACAATAAGATATGAAAAGAATATGTCTTATTCTAATGTAAATTGAAGCATATTTCCATAACATTTTCTGTCGTTGTTGTTGACGTCTTAGTACTGCGTGTTGTGTTGTGTCCCTCGTCGTTGTTAAGGGGATGTGTTTGTTTAGGTTTTCTTCCAAACGAGAGGAAATAAAATTAAATAATTATGTCATCATTTGCATTGCTTTGCTGTACTACATTAAACTAGGCAAGTCCATATAAACTTGATCATGATAAATTACTTCCTTGAATGTCATGATGTCACGAATCGTATAAAGGTGAACATAGCATTGAGGAGTGTTTACATTGTTTGCATATGGTTCCCGACTGTGCTATTATATTTTATACTGATATGTTGATGTTTTACAGAAAATTTGAAAAATCAGAAATTAAAGTAAAAATTGATTTGCATAGATAATTTGATCAATTTGGGGGAAAAAGCAACATCAGCGTGGCATGCGTGATTTGAAACAATGATGTAAATGTCAATACTCAAATAGTTATAACAGTATGTAATTGTGTCTTTCAAACCATATTGAAATGTATTTGAATATTCCTTAATTACCTTACATTTCTTTTCATAATTGTTATTACATAACCCTTTGTGATTTTTTTTACCTGGTTTGTCGTCATTTTATGCCTTAATTAACTGAAATATATTTTCAAATGGTTTATGACACTGCATGGTGACTCTATATATGATAGTAACTTTCTTTCGATTCAGTCATCAGATGGTACAGCTAGTCCTAAGGCACATCTTGCCGCTTTTAGAATGCACAAATTTGAATTGTCTTTCGAAGATCAATGATTTATCTTGAATATACCTACTTATCTAGATGTAGTCTTCTTAGATATCCTGTTGGAAACAATGTCGTGGAATAGGTCAGGTGTTTTCTCGTCATATTACAGAACATTGTGTCTTGGCGGGGTTCTCCATTACTGATCCATTGGGTTTTTTTTCAGTTTGAGATGATAGATTTTCCTCGTTCTTGTTAAGGGAGGGTTTCAAACGAGAGGACATACAATTAAACAATGAGTCAATATTTACATTTTATTTTACTACACAAAACAAATAGTAGAAATCTTTATAAAATTGATCAAGAGAGATTACTAACTTGAATGTCATGAAGTCACGAATTGAACATATAACATTGATTAGTATTTGCATTATAAAAGAAGCAGATGTGGTACATGTATAACTGCCAATTAGATAACTATCCACCAGAGACAAAATAACGTAGATATTAGTAACTGTCGGTGTGAATGTTTGTTTATAATTCCCGATTGTGCTATTATAAACTGATATGTTGATTAACAGAAGATTGATAATAAGTAGAAAATTAAAGTACAAATTGATTTGCGTAGATAATTTGATCAATTGTAATATATTAGAAATGGCATTTGTAATGTAATGTAATTGAGTCTTTAAAGTTACTTTAAAAAGTATTTTATATTTACTGAATTGCTTTACCCTTCTTTTCATAATTGTTGATATTACATTATCCATTTTGAATTATTATACTTGGATTGCTACCATTTTCGACCTTTATTAACTGACATATTGACGTGATTTTGTCTTCAGAAGGAATCCATCACAGCTAGTCATAAGGAACATTTTGCCCTATTTTGGCTTTCAAAATTTTGAATTGCTTATGAAAATTAATGATTCATCTTGAATATAACTATTTAACAAGATTAAGTAATCGTATTTGGAAAAAAAGAAGTCTTCTTATTAGAAACTCTTTCGAAAAAAAATATCATGGAAAGTATCAAGTGTGTTTTTGTCATGTTACACAATAGTGTGTTTTCTGTATATCCATTACTGCCTCTTTGCGATTGATTCTAAGGACTAAGCAACACGAACCCCACTAAAAACCGTGGTGATCTCATTTGCTCCGAAAGGGGAGCAGATCCTGCTCTACTTGTGGCACCCGTCGTGTTGCTAATGTAAGTTCACAACCGGTGATAGGTCTAATTCGGTAGGTTAGATTCGAGGAAAAGAGGACAGTATTGTGGGTACAACAATTGGAAACTATCCGTCGTCATCTATGAATAAAGGCAACAGTAGTATACCGCTGTTCGAAATTCATAAATCGATTAAGAAAAAACAAATCCGGGTTACAAACTAAAACTGAGGGAAACACATTAAATATAAGAGCAGAACTACGACACAACAGAAACACATCATTAAAATGTAACACACACAGAAACGAACTATAAAACAGATATTCCATAACGGTTAATTTGACTGCCAAATTGAGCTTCAACCTACCGATTGAAGCAGATGCACATTGGGGTATTCATAATTTAACAACTGACAGGAACAATGTAATATCAATTAATTAGAAAGCAAAACAAAGAAGAAAAAACCTTTTAAAAAGGACAATAAATATACGCCGGACGATCTGAATTTGGAAAACACACAGTTAGCACGGAACACTAAATACAGATAGATGATGCAAACAAAAGTCTGCTTAAAGATATGGAATAGTACATGTACAAGGAGGTGTGAAGACAAACAGATACAGTTTGAGAACCTAATACGAATGACAAAGATCTCATCTTAGATTAATTTAGACGACTGAATGGAACATTGATACATACTGCAACGAGTATAATCTGACATACTGTTGCTCAAATTAGTGGTCAAGAGTACTCACCGCTTGCTGAAGACTTAATTAAACATTTATTTTGACATTGAATAGATCTCCAGAAAATGGTTGATATCATTGACTGATTGTTCCCACATAGGCTTTTAGAACCGTAAACTATGTATTTGATGCGATTTTGAAAAAGATAACATGCTAGGAATAGAAACCAAAGCTATATGCAGCTTAATTGGATCAAACAGGCATGACAAATCTTATAAGGATATGTTAGATGCATTTCATCAAAACAATACCTATGAAAGTTGGATCTATGTCATTGCAATTATGGTTGCATTGGCATATTGGAAAAATACAAAAACTAAACAATACGATAGAAAAAAAGAAAATCCTTTTTGTACAATTTTTTTTAACAAAAAAATCGATGTCATTCCCTGTCCTTCCTTCGTAAAGAAAGATGAAAAATAGAGCAAAACGAAAACGCATTGTACAGTTGTTCTGTACAATGTAAGTTCTCTGACAATCATACATTTGATGTCATTTGCGATGATTGTGAACGGCAGTAGAATATAAGGTAACACAAAATATTATTAACCAAAAAAAAAAGGTAGGGTAGGAATCAAAATGCTAATCTTTGTTCACACTGCAATATCCATATTTAATACAATTCTTTGAAAACTGATTTACTTAAATCCTAATTTTTCGTCTCAAATGTATTATTACCTTTTATTACGAATAGTTTTTTTGTTCTGTGATATATATAAACCAATTTCTGCTGTTCTCAGGCAACTCGGACATCTTATTCGAAGTACATTTTTCTTGCTTTGTGTATAAAACAAACAAAATAAGAGAACTTTCGACAACCTGTTCCTTGAAAACAGATACCATGATCTATATTTTTTAATTGTGTATTTTAAGAAGTTTAAAATTATGAACTTCGCGTAATATATTTACAATCAGATCATTGTTAGAAAAAAACATTTTACACATCCATAAAACCTTGTGCTAAGAATCTAACCTCTTCTGCTGTTATTTTAATTCAATTATCGTCCTAGTCAGCACAAATACACAGACACATAAAATGTTCTCAATTAATAAAAACGTTCGTCAAAGATGAAGTCATATGTACGTCTTAATGTAAGTATAATATGAATTTCCTTTTGATAACGTCTACTATCTTTTTACGTTATCATTAAAGACTAAATCTAATAACATAACTTAGATCTACCTTTACAATAAAGTAAGTGAGCAAGTCTTGCGATACATTATAAGCGATCTCCTGACCTCCTGTAATAACAGTTGTAGTGGTTCAATTGTAACTGTAATTTCAAACCTAAAGATCCTCTTATTGAAGAAGAATACAAGAATGTAACGCATGTTTGTTCAGTTTAATTAACAAAGCAAGCAAATTGCCAAAACCTGTAATTTTTTTCTTTTTATAAAATATCGAAACACATAAATACACTCCTTTTTTTTAGTGGAAAATTTTACAAATCTTCTTGTTGGTCGGACAGATAGTAGTTTTCACTGAAAAACAGACTTAGGAAATTATGAAGGAAGTCATTCTCCTCGCCAACTATTAAATTGATATATTTGATTAATAGCACTTCATCTTATTTTAAAATATGTTGTCGATTGTTAGGAGCTGTAAAACTACAATGACTTTGATGTTATCTTTTTTTAATTCTTTCCTCTATACATTAGTATGTCAATGTATGATAGGATACTTTTGAAAGAATCAGACCAGGTTTTTACACGTATGAAGATATATAAATTTTACCTAAAGGATCCATTAAATGAGAGATGTTATAAAACCAGGATGTTAGCGCTCAAAAACATGACATTACAGCTAAAATTCAAACATTTTTTGTATTTTATTATCAATGAGCAAATGATTTTGGTGTTATGCTATGTCTAAACTATTATCATTACATAACTATAAAAATTCCACAGGCACCATCATGAAGTGTCTTATTTCATCAGTTGAGAGTAAAATAATGACGGTACGCATATGAAATCAGACTTTCCTGGGTGTTTGAATTGTTTTACACTAGTCATTTTGGGGCCCTTTATAGCTTGCTGCTCGATGTGAGCCAAGGCTTTGTGTTGAAGGCCGTACTTTGACCTGTAATTGTTAACTCTTTATACATTGTGACTTGGATGGAGAGTTGTCTTATTGACACTCATACGACATCTTCTTATTTATATTTGCATTAACACGTTTAGCAAAAGTAACCTCCATGGTGCTTAATATCACCATATATCATACACCATTCCTAATATCACCATACACCATTCCTATATATATATAGCTAATATCACCATACACCATTCCTATTATCACCATACACCATTCCTTATATCACATACATCATGCACCATTTTTATTATCACCATACACCCTTCTTAATATCTCATACATCATGCACCATTCCTATTATCACCATACATCATTTTCAATATCACATACATCATGCGCTATTCTTATTATCACCATACACTATTCCTAATATCACATACATCATACACCATTCCTATTATCACCATACACCGTTCCTTATATCACATACATCATGCACCATTCCTATTATCACCATACACCATTCTTAATATCACATCCATCATGCACCATTCCTAATATCACCATACACTATTCCTAATACCACATACATCATGCACCGTTCTTAATATCACATACATCATGCACCATTCCTAATATCACAAACCGCATGCACCATTCCTATTATCACCATACACCATTCTTTATATCACATACATCATGCACCATTCCTTTAATCACCATACACCATTCTTAATATCACATACATCATGCACCATTCCTAATATCACCATACACCGTTCTTGACATCACATACATCATGCACCATTCCTATATAATATCACCATACACCATACACGTTTTATAGGGAATTTTTAACAATTCAAGAACCGTAGTAGTCACATATGAAATAACTTTGGGGAAATAACACCATCTTAATATGTCACCGTATCGCTTTGGTAAAATTTACCGATGCACCCTAAGGCTGTAACGTACAATTGAAAATTAAGTTTGTTGAAAGAGTTACAATAACATGTCAACAGTGTTTGGTGAGATAATTCTTACAAAAAGTGGAGGAAAGGATGATAAATTCAAAAGCGTAATAGCTGTCGATATCACATTATATCAAATATCTTATCGATTTCTATCGAAACAAAAACTAAAAGTGATGTTTTTTTTTATTCCGAACAGTTTTTTTATCGAAAGGTCTTTCATCAATAGGTGGAAAGACTTAACAAAGAAAAATTATTTAATTGCTCTCCGAACTTTCTTCCAAAACTCCTCCTCTGCTACCAAATCGCTTGACCATCGTATATATGTTGATATTGTTAAAAGAGTATGCAAAGACTTTGGCATATCATCAGGTGACACGGTCTCTAACATTATAATTAAAAGTGAGTCTGCACGCTTTATAAACTTTTTATGGGCAAGACGCATTTCAAATAAACACCAATCACTTTTTATCATTGCTCGTGACAGAATAAGTATAACCTTTTTACTTCGGGCAATTCCGTTTGCGATATTGTCGATGATTAATTTTCCTCCAACAAAATCGCGATGATGAATACACAGTTTCCGGTCGTTTATTTCGACCATTTTGATAAATTTGTCCTTTACCCATTCTCTGTCTTCATCGCAATAAACGACAAATCCCGAATATAAGAAATTTGACACATCATCCATGCCTTCGTAGCCTTTTTGTCGTATATGAAAGAGGTATATTGCATGACGTATGTGCCATCGACCTTTATAGACCAAACTTGCAAGCATGACCACGAAAATGCCAATTGTTGATAACACTGTAAATGCTATCAGAAGTTCATTTATACTTTCACATTCTCTGTCAGACGGAAAGTAGCTTTTTAACAATGAACCATGTAGCTCGATAGGTGTGCTACATATATAATGCTCTGGGTATTGCTTAAATATCTCTGACTTGTCCTCTATCCACTTCCGTAGCCAAAGTAGTTTGCAGGTGCATGAAAAGGGATTGTTAGCTAGATATATACTTCTCAGATTCCTCCTAAAGACTGCTGGAAATAACGATTCTTTGAATACAGTGATGTAGTTCATATCCAGTCTAAGAATTTCGATGGATGACACATTCTTGAACACTGTTTTACCTTTCCACGTCTTAATATGATTTTGTGACAGGTCAAGGTATCTTAATTTCTCAAGTCTGAAAATCAGGTTCTTCGGTATTGTGGTCAATGCACAATGTCTTATAGTTAAATGTTGAAGATTTTTCAAAGGAATCAGCATTCTGAACAGTACATTATTGGTCACATTGAACTTGTTCTCACTTAAATCCAAAACTTCTAAATTGGGTAAATGATTCAAAATTTCATCCGGATTGAAGTAAAAACGTTCCGCACTTTCGGAAATGAAAGGAAAATAGTTTGCAGAAAAATTTAAGCTTTGTATAGTATCACTTCTGAATGCCAAGCTTTCAATCTTATATAAACGACCACCAGTATTACTTATACTTAATGTCCTCAATGAAGTCAAGTTATAAAAGGTGTTGTTGAGGATACGCTTCACCGGATTCCTACCTATTTTGAGCGTATGAACATTGTCAAGGCATGAGAAACGATTTTCAAAATATATAAGAAAGTTAGATTTCATTTGTAAAATTTCAAGGTTCGGAAAGAAACAATCATTAGGTGTTCCGAACATATTTTCTTTCAATTCGATGTAGTTGTAATCTAAATAAAGTCTTTTTAGAGACAAAGCATGATCCGTAATAAATATTTGTATACTATTGAACTTCACGCTTAAATGTTCCAATTTTGGAAGATGGCGATTAAGTGAAGTAAAATTCAATATATTTAATGTATTACCTTCAGATATCAGTGTTTTTATTTTGAATTGAGGTACCGATACGGCCTGGTATATAATTGACAGATCTTTGCGCCAATAAAAAGAATTTATTATAACAGTATGAAGATACGCAGAGTGTATTCCCCTTAATGTGTCAGCTACTTGGTGTATTGTAAGGTTTTTGTTTCCGGTCAGATCTATTTTTTCCAAAAATTTCAGCTCAGAAAGGGCATCTTTTGAGATATTTCGAATATGATTGTACCGTAAAACAAGAACAGTTAGTTTTAACCTTGTCAAATTTGACATTGTATGTCGTTCAATGAATGGAAGATAATTTCCAGAAAATATTAGACCTGTAGCGTCATCTGGTAGTTTTGGTATGTATCGCAGCTCTTCGTCATTGCGGCATGTTACAATAGTTTCGTTGCAGCTACACGCTCGAGGACAACCTTGTACAACGACATAATGAAACAACAACAACGATACCGTTCCATAAATGGTATTTTCCATGCTGGTGTATTTATCCTTCTCCAAAATTTAATCTGAAACTAATATATTGCATTATGTTTAATGTTAAAGTCTGCCAATATTGTTTTGACTCGTAAAGTTTAGAGGCAACGCAATTCAAGGGGTAGTAGAAGTAATAGTAGAGATTAACAATAACTGTCGAACTCTGAACCCGAGTAGGAATAGGACTATTTATCAAACTTACAGCCGTATTGTTTGCCTCTCTCATCAAAATACTTTAAATCGTCAACACTTTAAAACTAGAGCCTGTGTCGCTCACCTGATTCTACTTTGGTTTTGGAAATCATGTAAATATAAGTTAAAACCATAACAGATACCCTAATACTGATTGAAGCCAAATTTGGTTAAATATTGGCCCTGTAATTTAATAAAAAATTCTGGTGGCCATCTTGAACAATAAATCGGCAACAAAGTAGAAACACTTCATCAGTACCTCATAAGGAACATTTATGCCAAGTTTGGTTTCATTCCATTCAGTGCACCTCTAGAAGAAGCATTTGTATGTATTTTCCACAGGGTCTTATGTTAAACTAAGTCCCCTGCTGGCGGCAATCTTGGATGATGGTTCGGCTACAAAGTATCAAAACTTGGTCATCACCTCATTAGGAACATTCATGCCATGTTTGATTTCATTCTATTTAATGGTTTTCTAGAAGAAAACATTTGTATGTATTTCCCATAGGGTCCTATGTTAAACTTACTCCCCCCTGCTGGCAGCCATCTTCAAAAGAAACATTCATGCCATGTTTGGTTTCAATCCATAAAGCTGTTTTCTAGAAGAAGACATTTGTATATTTCCCATAGGGTCCTTGGTTAAACTAAGTCCCCCGTTGGCAGCCATCTTGGTTGATGGATTTGCTACAAAGTAACAACACTTGATCAGCACCTCATAAGGAACATTCATGCCATGTTTGGTTTCATTCCATTCAGTAGTTCTTCAAAAGAAGACATTTGTATATATTTCCCATAGGGTCCTTTGTTAAACTAAATTCCCTGTTGGCAGCCATCTTGGTTGAGTGATATGCTACAAAGTAAAAACACTTGGTCAGCACCTCATAAGGAATATTCATGCCATATTTGGTTTCATTCCATTCAATGGTTCTCTAAGAGAAGACATTCGTATGTATTGTCCATAGGGTCCTATGTTAAATTAAGTCCCCCCGCTGGCGGCCATCTTGGGTGATGGATCGGCTTCAAAGTAACAACACTTGGTCAGCATCTCATAAGGAACATTCATGCCATGTTTGGTTTCATTCCATTTAGTGGTTCTTCAAAAGAAGACATTTGTATATATTTCCCGTAGGGTCCTTTGTTAAACGAAGTCCCCTGCTGGCGGCCATCTTGGATGATGGATATGCTTCAAAGTAACATCACTTGGTTAGCACCTCATAAGAAACATTCATGCCATGTTTGGTTTCATTCCATTCAGATGTTCTCTAAAAGAAGACATTTGTATGTATTGTTCATAGGGTCCTATGTTAAACGAAGTCCCCCGCTGGCAGCCATCTTGGATGATGGATCGGCTTCAAAGTAACAACACTTGGTCAACACCTCATAAGGAACATTCATGCTATGTTTGGTTTTATTCCATTTAGTGGTTCTCTAAAAGAAGACATGTGTATGTATTGTCCATAGGGTCCTATGTTAAACGAAGTCCCGCGCTGGCGGCCATCTTGGATGATGGATAGGCTACAAAGTAACAACACTTGGTCAGCACCTCATAAGGAACATTTGTGCCATGTTTGGTTTCATTCCATTCAGTGGTTCTCTTAAAGAAGACATTTGTATGTATTGTCCATAGGGTCCTATGTTTAATCAAGTCCCCTGCTAGCGGCCATCTTGGATGATGGATCGGCTACAAAGTAACAACACTTGGTCAGCACCTCATAAGGAACATTCATGCCATGTTTGGTTTTATTACATTCAGTGGTTCTCTAAAAGAAGACATTTGTATGTATTGTCTATAGGATCCTATGTTAAACGATGTCCCCCGCTGGCGGCCATCTTGGATGATGGATCGGCTTCAAAGTAACAACACTTGGTCAACACCTCATAAGGAACATTCATGTCATGTTTGGTTTCATTCCATTTAGTGGTTCTCTAAAAGAAGAAATTTGTATGTATTGTCCATAGGGTCCTATGTTAAACGAAGTCCCGCGCTGGCGGCCATCTTGGATGATGGATAGGCTACAAAGTAACATCACTTGGTCAGCACCTCATAAGAAACATTCATGCCATGTTTGGTTTTATTCCATTCAGTGGTTCTCTAGAAGAAGTTCAAAATGTAAAAAGTTAACGACGAAGACGACGGACGACGACGACGGACGACGGACGACGACGACGGACGACGGACGCCAAGTGATGAGAAAAGCTCACTTGGCCCGAAGGGCCAAATGAGCTAAAAAGAACTTCTTTTTCAGGTTTAGTAATCCTTATTGATGTCTGTTTTTTTTTTGGGGGGGTGCATTTTTTCGCTTCGTTTTCTTTCTTGGATTATGGTTTAAAACTTCTAAAAGTTCAATGACAAATTTGACCCGACAGAGAACCACACGAATATTAATTTCTAAAATATCTATGCAGCAAGCAAGTTCGATGCGCGGTTGCATTCTTGAATATTTATCAACAAATCAAGTGAAAGGATGTCCAATGTGAGTATTCTTGTCCAGTTTTCAATCTCGGAACAAATGAAAATGTTTAAACTTAAACGTTGCTGATACAAACAGTGGTACAAAGGTAAAAAAGATAAAAAAAAGGGGAATACAAAAACAACCGATACTCTAATTCTAAGACGTACATCTAAATCGGAAGGCGACAGAAGTGTTTGGCAGGTAGGCGCACGCTTAAAAAGATTAATTACTTCAGTTAATAATACAAACAGTCAGGATTCTACTTTGTCAAAATTATCTCCCCCTTACGCCACCTAATTTTTATAATCGTAAAAATGGAAGCCATTGTAGTGATGACGCGCTGTCAATTTAGCTCTTGAAAACCGATAAATTTATCCACATAGTATCATTATGATCCTTATATGTCAGTTGTATTTTAAAAGACAAATGTATCTACTAGCTATTGAGCATCATTTAATGTACTTTTAGGCATTTGGTCAACTTAAAACTATTGTCTGATCCGTTGTCAGGGGGAATTTTCGAAAGTTCAAAAACTGTTTTTAAAAAAATCTAATTAAACATTTCGTGAAAGGGCAGACTTAAAATTTTCAGAGGTTGAAGACTAATTACCCTAGATAACACACACAAAAAATGAAGGTTTTTATTGAAGTTATGTATTTTTAAGATCCACCAAAAATGATTTCCGTCCAGTACTTTTAGTAAAAAAATTATTCAAACACACCTACTCTGTTGTTATGACTCATTAGAAAGGTATTTCACTTGACCCATATATTTCATCTTTTAGTACTGTAAATTTCTAATGTTTTTGTATCAAACTACAGCCTAAATATATAAAAATAATAGAATCTGAAGCGAGATGATGTATCAAATATTTTTCTTTTATAGTTTTCAAGACAGAATAGGCAACTCAAACATGCCTGAACCTAAAAAGGTGTACTCGACTTTCTCTTATCGATGAAATTATTGCCTATTTTTGGGATTTTTTCCCAAAAAACTGTCAGCGGGGGCAGAGATGCAAAGTGATGCTTTAAAAAGATAAATCTATTATCTTTTTCTAGAATTTTTTTAGGCGGAATTTATACTTATGCCCAAAAAAGATCCATGCGAATTTACACCTACCACAATGGCACAATCGATTGTTTTGTGAAAAATTGTCAATAATTTAAAAGTTTACAAATATCTCGACGCTCAATTCAATAATTTAAGTAAAAACACATACATAAGATGCATAAAATCCTAAATTAGGCACATTCATTAAACTTTTAAAGCCCATAGAAGCAGATGTAAATAATTCAAATTTACTAACTTCGCCTTTTTTACCTTCTATAACAAAGGGTTTCATTTCGTTTGTTTAATTTCAATTGGGTTTCCGCCTGCAAAGCCGTAGACAAGTTTTAAATGTTTGTATGATTGTTAGACACTTTTGCAATAAGTCTTCCCTCTCATAACAAAATGTAAAGTATGATGAAAATACAACACACGCAGTGCGTTAAGGATTAAATATAAATAAGAAGATGTGGTATGAGTGCCAATGAGACAACTCTCCGTCCAAGTCACAATGTATAAAAAGTAAAATGCAGATATACGATTTAAAGAGGAAGCATTTCTTTGATTTAAAAAAAAATTAAACCGTTATCGTGTTAATATATATATATATGATTATCAGAAAGCAGACAATCCGAAAGAAATAAATTTACAAAATTGATAAGGCTCATAACGGATTATCAAGTCTGCGTTGAAATTTTAATTGGGGAACTTAAATGCTAAACGCTCATGGGAACAACTTGGGGCATTCATATTAGATACCTAAAAGCCATAGAGAAAGTTTGTGGTACTATTGTTAAATTGCAAAACATAGTTATTCATTTAATAATATAATGAAATACAAAAGTATAATGTTATTATAGGATGAGATTACTGCCGTATTGTTTTCTGTCATTCGGAATGGCTCGGAGTCATACACTTATTGCAAATCTCTTCTTCTAGAGATTTACAATAAGTGTACGACTCCGATCCGTTTCCACAAATATGACTATGAACAAGATAAATGCGACTACATATCATAGAAAACTAATTTACGGAGCTCCAAAAGGTTAGAGAACAAAAAGAAAACGTACGTGTACAACAATACCTCCCACTCCATTAAATATATCAAACAGACATCAATAACGTTACGTTATGTTTTTTTTTTATTTTTCTCTTCTTGAACAAATATGAGGAAATGAAATAATCTGATAGTTCAGAAGACTAAAAATATCAGTGTAGGTTACGCGCGTCTACGAATAATGCAACCCTTCCATCCCCCACCACGAAAAAAACTACGCTTCGGGTTAAAAAGATTTAAAAAAAAACCTTCAAATAAAAGGATAATGTCCGGAATATCAACC